TTTATTCTTTAGTGCAACTTGACTGATGTCTAACCAGCCTACATGTATGGTTAGCTATTTAAACCAAAATCCATGCAACTTCTCAATCCAAGGTGTACCTCAGTTCTTGATTTTCTTTGACTGCTTCTGAATTGTTACTTCTGTTGCAGTTAAATTTTCCATCATTTTCCCTTTCAGTTCATTTTCTGTAGTGTAAAGGCATTGTGCTATCTTGTTTTATTCTGTGGGGTGATCTCACTGTCCTCTACAGAACTGCAAAATTTCTTCTTTGTCAGGTTTCATAATATTTTTTTCACTAATTGTGCTTGGAGCCAATATTCCTGTAGAACTGATACTGATTTGTTCTAAACTGTAAATGTTGATTGTACTGGCTTATACAAGCATCAATCTGCTTGATTTTTCTTGATAATGCCTCTATTTCAGGTCTTGAACTTCAACTATAGTTGTGGTTCCAATGTTATATCACGTTTTAAAGTCGAGGTTCAGTTGTTCATTTTCAATTTTCCTAGCTTTAGTTTTTTCAGATTGCTCAGCTCTGCCTGCAGTTTTTTCACTGTTAATTCTAAGTGAATTTTCCATTTAGGTTTACCATTGTTTTTATTGGAGTGATGACATTGACCAGGACATCAGCTTCATTCTTCTCACTAATTAATTTTTATATTTTAAAGATATTTTCCCAAATCATGTGAAGACTTTCACAGAAATAATTTAAAACAGCATAAAATATGCCTTTGCTGAAGAAAAAGAGTTTAGAAATCCTGAAATTCATTAAAACACCATGTTTTATATCATATATTTGGGGAAATAATGAAAAGACCTCCAATAAAATCAATAGGATACAAAGCCCATAGATTTGAATAAGATTATATGTACCTAACTTTTTCAGAACTGAGTGTTCATTGTTCAGTGTTTACCAATTAGTTTAAGAGAATCCAAACTTCTTCATTCATATTTGCTGAGTACTTATTAAGTATTGGGAACACAATATTTTGTCAGTGGAAAATATGAAGCAAATGAAGTTGCATACACACATTCACAAGCAATACAACCGTTGTACAAAGCCATTATTAGCCAATACCTGTGATGTCATCAAGATGCGTGACTACAACTCCTACACCCTTGTGCAATTATGTAAATTTAAACAAAATATATTTTACATTAATTACTGTAGAGGCAAAGTATTCATCTTATGTACAATAGAAACATAGATGTGTTTGTGAAAACCTAGTTTGTGAAACCAGGATAGCAATCAGTTGAATAGTACAGCCCTTTAAAAGTACCTACCTGATAGCTGTAAGGTTTTTTTTTCTTGCAGTCATACATCTAGAGATATCTATAATCTCTTTTTCAGATTTAGTTACTAGAGGCTGCAGTTTTCAGCAGATCAATGTACACCTCCCACCTTTAAAAATATTGTTAAAAGTGGTAGAAATGGCCATACAATGTTTTCCCATTTCTTCCTACAGCAAGCATAACAACTAGTATATATTCTGGCTGAGTTGCATCTGCTCAGATATTAACATTAAGAATACATTTTAATTTATTATTCACTTACTGGAAGTGGAGAAGTTCCATGTAAATTGTTTTAAGTAAAAGGAAGTTTCCAACGTGGACACATACCGCATTTCCCAATGATGATACCAATCTTGGATCTTATTATTATTAAGTATAGTCTGATCCTATACATTTGGCTATCTCCAAATGTATTAAAATGTTACATGTCCAATTCTCCATAGAATCAGGCTGTTAATTAGTAGTTGGGGAGATCATATGAAGTAGACAATATGACAGAGAAAGACCCTGACTGTTTAACAGCAACAATTAAGGCTCTACGTTTTTTATTTTTTAAGCAGTTAATTTTACTTTTGTATTGTTATTGTTTTTAATAGAATTGTTATAATCACTACCTTTGTTTTCAATATTTGATTATCATTTTGGGATATCTGACATGAAGTTCTTATATATATAAGTTTTTTCAAAGGAGTCAGCTCTTTATCCTGGTTGTAAAATGGGAGTGCATATGTGAAACATGTATGACAAATAAGACCCATTGCTTAGCATATGTGAGCTCGTACTCTTCTGGAGGGCGGACAAAAGCATCAGCAATGGTTCCTTCCAGTGGTGGATGCTGCTCTCTCGTGGTTACTGTTAGAGAACCAGTGAGACTCTGCTAGATTCTATAAACTGGAAAACTCTTTAATCTGTTTAATATTACCTTCACAGTTATTTTTCAACATAGACAAAGATGTTTCCATTGTTACAAAATGTTTGAGCTGATATACAAACATCGTAGAGATGTGTTCACTTAGTCAATTATGGAGAAAGAAAGGTGAGTGATTGGAAATATTGCCCAACATATTGTTTGAGCACACATGTACAACCAACAGTATTAGTGCTAAAATAATGCTAGTTACAGTATTTTTAATAAGTCCATGACAATATAATTAACCATCCAATTCATTTGAGGCCAAGTTCTTAGTTAAGGTAACCCAAGATGACAAAACAGTGTATAAGTATTCAAATTTTCCAAAACTTTCATCAGGTAAAATGGGAAACATATCCAAAGCAAAATGGGATAAGCTATTCGAATCTGCATTAAAGGTTCCTTCTGCCTTGGTACACTTCTAGGGAAGGTTATTGAGAAGGTGGTTGGGCAACAGTTGCTGAGGATCTTGGAGGAAGCAGATTACAGGTAGTCCTCAGTTAACAATGGTAATTGGCATCGGAATTTCCATTGCTAAGCAATGTGATTGTAAAGCATGTCACAGGACTGCATTGCTTAGCAATGGCAATCCTGGCAGTCTTGTTGCCGTCATTAACTGAATCCCACAGGTTGTTAGATGAGGACCGCCCAGTCCTGAGCCTTAGTAAGGTAAGGGACTGCCTCCCCTGCTTCCTCGTGAACTCCACCCACCCGCCTATCTCCCCCCTATCTGTGCCCTTTTGGCCACCTGCCTACCCACTGCCGCCAGCTGCCCCCACTGCCCAGCCGTGCCCGCTGCCACACCCACTGGATCACGTGCTACTACTGGTGTTGCTTCTTTCATGTGCCAGGCTTCTTTTGCGAAAGAAGGCCCTTGGCACAGCACAAATGGAGGCCCTGGCTGGCACGTGAACAGAGGCCCTGCTTGGTGCATGAACAGAGGCCCTTACTGCACATAGGGCTGCCCTTGAATACCACTTGAAGCAGCTATAGCTGGTCAAGAATATGGCAGCATGGGCAGTGATGGGCATGCCATAGTATGCCCATGTGTCACTGCTGCACTACCAGCTGCACTGGTTCCACTTGGCTTCCAGATGCAATTCAACATGCTGGCCTTTATGGCATAGGGCCTGGTTATCTGAGCGTCCTCCTATCTCCAATACTTTTTACTCATCCAGTAAGATTGAGCAGAGTTGGTGTACCCCAAGCCCCTTCAACAATGTCATCTATTAGGACCTAACAAGTGTGCCTTCTCTGTTGTAGCGCCTGCCCTCTGAAACAGCATCCCCAGAGATCCATATGGCTGCCACCCTGATGATGTTCCAAAAGGTCTGGGGTTGGTGGTTGTTGAGCCCCTGTTAATTTTCCTTTGGTGCATTGTGTTTCTTTTCTCTGGATATGCCTGATCTTTTTCTTTTTATTTCATTGGTCTCCACTTGTTAAAGTGTAAGCTGCCCAGAGTCATTTGGAGTCAGGTGGCCTCTAAATTAATAGAACAAACAAGCAAGCAAACTAATAAATAAATACATTTTAGCCTTAAAATGAAATATCAGGAGTGAATGATGCTCAAGCCATAAAGTGTGGATTTAATTGAATGTAGAGTTAGGCTACATTCAACTGCCCTCTTATTTTTGGAAATATAAAATCCAACCTGATATTTAAAACCCTCCCCTTCCGTAAGCAAAACATTGTTTCCTTACTAAATGAAAAACAGAAGCACAGACAATAGGGCTCAGTAATGAGCTCAGCAGTTGGTACTGTCTGCACTACTTTAAAAATGGAAAAACTAAATTGAAATTTATATTGCCTCTGCAACGAAGGTGACATCATGAGAATGTGACTAAAAAAACAAACAAAAACAAATTGAGACATCTTCATGCTGCTTTTAGCAGCACATAAGGATGAACCCTCCGACTGAATGTTGGGAAAAATTCTGTTTGGTACAAGCAATTTTTCAACTGCAGAAACAATTATCTAGAGCAGAGGTTCTCAAGGTGTGGTCTGGGGACCCCTTTCCGGGGAATCCACAAAATCAGATAAATATTTTTAAATTTCTCAGCTTTAATTTCTAATACAGTAAACACTAATAGATATATTAAACAGTAGTAGATATATCCCACATAAACCAAAGCTCTTGGGGTCCTCAATCATTTTTAAGAATGTAAAGGGGTCTTGAGACCAAAATGTTTGAGAACCACTGCTCTAGAGGTACCTCGGGCTTAACTTCATCAGATGTGTACAAATGTTTAGGTTGCTTTAATCTGGATTCTGCACTGAACAGCAAGTTAGACAACGTAGTCTAAATGGCTCTATAATTTTATGAAATTTTATTTAAGAAAACAATTTTAATCTACTTGCTTTACAGAATAAATTATTTAAGGATAAATAAATACATAAAGCACTTTCTGCAAAGAAACAGAGGGACAGAAAGCGTGCTGGAATAAGGATGATACAAATAGAGAATTTCTGTTCTACAACACTTATTATTAGCAAGTCTAAATCTAAGGACTCTTGACACTGACTACTAAATTTGTCTCTTGTCACACAGCTCGTATAAAATGACCTATGGATTTGATGCTAATTAAACAGCCGCCATCGAATGCTATCGACGTTCGTTTACATTTTTTTTTTTTTAAAAGCCCAAATATAGACATTGAGGTTATACTGTATTACAAATGGGCTCCGGAACTAACAAACTAGATCGCAAATGGTACCCGAGCCTTGATTTGAGCTGCACTGCATGGTGGGATCGAAGGAAGACTATTCAAGAAATCTGCTGCGAGAACTAGAGAGCGGAAGTAGCCTTGTAAGGTTTTTATAGATGTTACACAGCCGGTCTGTGGTGCTGCTGGTCTGGATCGCGGACCTATTCGAAGTAAAGTTGGAGGTATAAATGGAGAAGCGTGACCTGCCGTGCTTTCTGAGGGGATGGGACAGCGTGGGGACGGAGGATTTTATCAGGAAGCGGGAACAGTTCAAGACGCATAAAATTAATGGAGTTAGTAAGGCGGCTCAGCGGACCTACGAACTCCTTAGCGGAAAGTAGCTCATAACACATAGACGAGGGCGAGAAAATAGGAATGAACTTCTGGGTTTGGGGAGTTGGGAGAAGAGAATGTGGGCAGTTCTGAAGGCAGTAAGCGCAACATTTATTTTAGTTCTTAAGTTTCTTTTCTTGAGATATGTCGGCCTTGAAGTCTGACGATGAAATAGTATTCGATGTCTATAGGTTCAATATCTTGTATCCACAGATTGTTAAGTCTGAGTGTTTGTATGGTGAAATGTAGTCTCCTTCACTGTTAACTCCGTATTTACTGACAAGCTGTCACAGGGAAATACGATTTTAAAGCAATATATTATTGCTAGTACAAAACAATATTATAGTCAATCACATGCTGTGCTTTTTAAACAGAGTATTTTATAATTCCACTTACCCCCCCAAATGGAATATTAGCAAGTTTATTTTTAAAAACTTCCAGTAAAAGTCCAAAGAATAATAAATGAGTTTAAGGGAAAGATACCACAATGAGGAAAATAAGGTTTAAGAATTCTACTATAGTATTTTATATGCACCAACTGTAAGACTGGCAGTACTATCTTGTTTGAGTCTACTCAAAAATAACTTTCACTGAGTTCAGTGAGCCTTTGTCTCAAATAAATAGATATGGATTGGTGTATTATAGATATAAGATTGTAGTCAGTACACTTTAAAAAAACTGATGGAAATGCTCACTCATTGAATTAATTCCTTCTGAAATATTACTGTGATGCTAACATCATTCTTAGAGTTACAGTGTTTTTTATGTGGATTTCTTTACTGAATAGTTTATTCATTCTTAGGTACACTTGATGTCTCAGTCTTGACAGTATAAGATTATTCAATTGTGTTTAACTCCAGAAGGTAAGGCGACAGACCTCATTATCATTTTACAAATAAAAATAGCAATTAACACTTTATTCCTCATAGAAGATGTTCAGCAAAGCAAAGTTGGTGATGGTGGGGAAGTTTGTAAAAAAATGGCTTTTGTTCTAGTTATGAATTCAACATTAATAACCTTTTCTTTCTGTCTTCTTCAGACATATGTTTTCTTTAATATTTTTCATGGTGAAGAGTTTAGAAGAAATGAATGCTTGTACACTACTTGGAATCCTTAGTTGGCTTAATCAAAGTTATTGCCTTAATATGAGGATATTTCAACTAGCCAAACACACCTGTCTTTTGCTTCTAGTCTTTTTCCTCATGAACTCTACCAATTGATCTTGCAGATATTAGTGTTTTGGCTACAACTAATAATAGAGTCGTTGTATTATATGCAACATATCTTTTTATTTTAGATTGTTTTTTATGATACAAGGAGTAGACAAATAGCAAAGAAAGAGAACATTATTTGAATTCTGATAAACTTTCAATAAACTAAACATTCAGAATATATACAGTGCATTCGGAAAGTATTCAGACCCCCTTCACTTTTTTCAATTTTGTTATGTTGCAGCCTGATACA